TTCAGTATTTTTTGGGTATTTTTTTACATTTTTTTCGATTTTTTTCATTTTTTTATTGGGCAAAGGGAGCACTGTAGCGCGCTGACGTCAGATTGCCATCGGGCTGGCGCTCGGGCCAGCCTCCCCCTCGGGCCAGCCCAGGTAGCTGGGCCCCACTCCTTGCCCTGGCAGATCTTTGTTGCTGGAAACCCCATTTTGGGTTTGCCCCCCTCCCAACCCTCCCCTTGGGCCCTTTGCTGGAAATGCTCTTAAAGGAGTCAAAGTTCAGAACTCGGGGTCCTCCCGGACCATCCCTCAACCTCAACCGTCGGATCCATTCAACCTTACACATCCAGAATCCAATCTTCTCTAAGTAGAAATTGGAATAAATTTGTTTACCAAAATATAAATCCCATCCATATAAGCAAAAGTCACCAAAATTGAATAAATCTTGCATATAAAAACCAACTGTCCTCGTCTCGTATTGTTAAGAACAGAGGCCCAACAAGTCCTAAATTGATGGACGAGATTAATTATAATTCCTAATCTGGATTGTCAATTTGATAATTGCACTTTGGCAACAGAAAAAATAAAAAATAAAAGCTCACGTTAGCGTTGTCACGTGCTTTGTCGTCTACACGAGAGTGTGGCGTGCGGTGTGGGCTCCAACCCAACCATCGAACCATTAAGAATCTGTGTTTACTAGACCCAACTATCCATCTGCACCGTCCATTAATGAAAGAAAAGGAGATCATTAAAATCTCGGCAGCACATTAATATCTCCTCTTTTCACGAGTCAACAAAATCAAGAAAACAATGGAAATTAGACACCAACTCCAACTTTAATTCAGCACTAGTGACTAGTCGCACACACGTCCAATCCAATTTCACTCTCTCTCGCTCTCTCTGTCTTTCTTTCTCCTTCTGTGTGGAAATTGGAAAGCAAATACAGTATATATGATATGAGAATGAGATTTTGTATAGTGGAGAAAGAAAAGGCGAACGGCACATGCGCGTAGCGTGTTTCACAGCTAAAACAATGCTTAGGTTTATTCTTCGTCTTCTTCTTCTGCCATGGCTTCTTCTCCTGCTCAGCTCAGTCTTCTCTTCGGCTTCGGCTAAACCTGGTGAGTGCTCACTGGCATCTTTTACTTATTCGCTTCAGTTCGATTACATTGCCGTTTCTTGATTCCCTGTATATCTTGATTCTTGAGTTCTTAACAATTCGGAGTCAAATTCAGTGGCATTGGAGTGAATTTAGCCACTGAATTTAGAGAGAGAACAATGAGTTTAAAGCGTAGTGGTGCTAATTCATCGTTTTTGGTTTTTGGTGTAAATTTTAGCGTTTGCTTTGGTGGAGATCTTGTTCTTATGCTCGATTCTGTTTGGCATTGATGATTCAAAGAACGGAAATGAATCAGAGAGTAAAAATGGAAATAAGTAGTGCTTTTTTACTCTTTCTGGAAAAAAAAAAAATATTTGTTTGTTTGATGTTGAAGGAAAGTCAATGAGTTTGAATTCCTTTTGGAAAAGGAAATGAATCTGCGTTTCAGTTGTGCCAATTGCAAACACAGAACGGCATAAAACAAGGCTTAAAGTAGGTTATGTTTCTTATGTATGATGATAACCAATTTTACCGAGTTGTAGAGAAAGCAGGGGCAGTGGCGTTTTAATGGCGGATGATGCATTATGCTCTTTGGCCTCTCAACATTTTAGATGAATTTTCTATTTTTGTCTAATTTTTTTGTTTTTTTTAAAAAATTGAATAAGGTGGTTACAGTTCAATTACAGAATCTAGAAAATTATACATAAAAAAGAAAAACACTGTAGTAATAGGATTTTCATGAAAGTACCATTTTTGTATAAGTTGCTGCTTTCACATCAGTGCTTATAAAATGAATACTCAAATTTAAGAGAAGATTAATTCTCTAGTAGTTGTTGTTTAGTGAAGTTGGTATTATTATTCACACACCATCATGCAGACAACACATGCTTATAAGATTAGAGAATATTACTCAGTTCTTTATTTTATCTTCCTGTGCTTATTCCGGTTAAAATTTTGGTTTTAACTTGTGTGTTATGCTTCTGAGAACAGCACCATTTGCTATGCGCATAAGCTGTGGAGCTCGTCAGAATGTTCATACAAAGCCAACCAATACACTGTGGTTTAAGGATTTTGCATATACAGGAGGCATACCTTTTAATGCAACACGCCCAAGTTATATCAGTCCTCCACTTCAGTCACTTCGGTATTTTCCCCTGTCTGAAGGCCCTGAAAATTGTTACATCATCAATAGAGTTCCCCGGGGACACTACTCAGTAAGGATCTTCTTTGGATTGCTTGCACAACAGAACTATGACAGTGAACCTTTATTTGATATTTCTGTCGAAGGCACTCAGGTTACTTCATTAAAATCTGGTTGGAGTAGCCACGATGATGAAACATTTGCTGAAGCACTAGTGTTTCTTAAAGATAGCTCTGTGTCTATCTGCTTCCATAGCACTGGTCATGGGGATCCAGCAATTCTTTCCCTTGAAATTCTCCAAGTTGATGATAAAGCATACCAACTTAGCCAGCAATCGGGTCAAGGAATAATCCTTAGAACAGTAACAAGATTGAGCTGTGGTACTGGGAAGCCAAAGTTTGACGTAGATTATGGCGGGGATCATTGGGGCGGGGACAGATTTTG